GAAGATTTTCGACTAACCTGCTCGGCCTGGAGCAGGAATCGGTATGTTCCCGCTCATCATCACTTCCTCCATGATTTTACTTTGTTGACTGTACCCGTTAACGGAAGTCGATGTATTGTTAACGCTCATTCTGCGTTCATTTTCTCAAAGTAAATCCAATTCACTGCAAATGAAATGAAATTTCCACGTAAAAAAAAGTAGAAAGGACTATCATTATTTCACAGGTTTGCATGTCATAACCCCCTTACTTTTTTGAGACAATGAAACAGACAAAACAAATTGGCATTAATTAAAATTACCATCCATCAAAAATGTTGGTGAAGAACTGTTACTTGAAACGCCATCTCCAAAAATTATATTGATTGGAGCTAGCGTCAGTAGTCCTTACTCTCTCCCCTCTTATCAGCGCTAATGACGAAGACAACATCTATAGACGAGTAAGTTCCACTACTCACCAGCAATAATGATTTGCCGGAAAAAAAAGATTCAGAAAACTCATAAGGACTTAAGGATACGTCTGCGTTGCATATATTCAGAATTGGGAACAGGATAAGGTTTTCGCAACTATAAAGTTGTGGCCTTAGGATTTTAGTCGCTATTCTGAAGTCCGACAATGCAAAGCATGTTATCTAGCCATGGACCATGAAACACAATTTTCATCAGAACACCTTTTTGTATTTTAGGCACAAGGTAGAAGCTACAATAATACAGAAACCTATATATCCTTTTAATAAGTAAAAAAAGAGCCATCGATGCCAATTGGAGAATTTCGTCGGTTACTCCATTTTGAAGATGTTCACAAGGTAAAAATCTGAAGTATGTTTCGCTAAAGCCTGCTGAACGGCCAAGATGCCTGCTATTCGACAACTTACTTTCATTATTGGTTAAGCAATATATAAGGATATGTATAAATTCGAAACAATTCTTAAGATTTCCTGGTTTAGCTAATTCCGTAAGACCTATTATGAATCTGAAAACCCTCAAAAACTGAAACAATCGGCTGTTGATTAACAAACAAATTTCGTTTTTCTAATCTTCAAGAGCCAAACCCTTTTCCTGCTCTGAGATAACCTTGTAGGGTGGATGTCTTAACCAACGCACTTTTGTACTCAAATCATACAAATAGTGAAGGTTTATTCGCAATAGAATAAAACTCTCGGACAGCAAGTTCGTAATACATATAAATATTATAGGGGACTGCATCACTATTAATCGTCACTAACACTGTTTACAAGTCGAGCGTAGAGTATGTATAGAGTTCTGCGATGAGGCGGAGGGGACGAATATCGGTAGATACCGTAGATTCAACGTGATATTTCAATTGTTATTTGGAAGAAAAGAAAAGGAAAAGTGAAAAAAATAGCAACACATGAACATCTCAACAACGACGATATTCGCTTCCGGAAAGCACAGGAACACCTAGCTTTAGTTGATGATGGTGTTTATGACGTTCCAAGAATCAGCGCAACGATCATACCGTATAGACCAAGTACCTTGAAGAGAATAAGATCAGAAGCTTAATAACATACGAATAAACCACACTTACTTCGGAGAAGATAAGAATGAGAATCATTCCGACGAAAAGACGAGGTTGTTGAGCTGTTCCGCGTACTCCTGCGTCACCAACAATCCCGATAGCGTATCCGGCTCCAAGACCGCATAGTCCACACGTAAGACCAGCTGCCAAATGAGCAAATCCCTTATTGAGATTGTAGCCATCACTGCTCGCGGTGACTTTTCCTTTCAACACCATAGCCACTACCAAACCGTAAATACCAATGATACCAGCCATAATGACTGGGATTACGGATTTCATGATCAATTCTGGTCGCATCACTCCCATGGAGCAGATGCCAACTGCTGACTTGGCTGTGCCATAGGCGGCTCCCAGGACAGTGAAGATCTAAAAGATTAAAGTTTTTGAGAAAGCCACTCTCTTTTAAATTAAGTTAAGATTCTTGAGAAAAATTCACACGTTCATTCGACAAAGTTTTGAGATAATCAGTTTAGACTAACATATAAGCAACAAGAATGAGGAAAAAAGAAAATTAGCGGTTGGAATTATGTGAAGTACTACGACGGTATAATCAGTTTTCTTTTTTTTCTGCAGAACTTTAACGATGAGATGATAGAATTGACTTGTTTAATGATGCTAATGTAAATTTGATTCTGTTCTAATGTCGTAGTCAACAAAATAAGAACTAATCTTATAATCTGAATAGCATTGATGTAAGAACATGACTATACCAAAACAGACCAGATCTATCTGAAAGTTCTTCTGTCACGATTTCACGACCGAAGACGAATGACAGGGAGAAAAACATAATATTCGTAACAATCAATAGTTGTCGCCATCAAACAAAAATGTGGATACTAATCTTCCACAATTACAGCAAATAGGAAGACACACCTGAGCCGAGGCTGCTCCCATGTACCCGAAGAAAGGAGCATACGCGGGTGATTCTGCGGTGAGTAGATCGTACGACATCCTGTAAGTAAATTATTCAAGTTCAAATTACATATAATCGAGAAAGGGTAACGTGAACAATCGAACTGAAGTACACCATAGAGGCGGCGTAGAAAAACACCTTTGATAAATGGGAACAGACAGTAGAGTGGGATCTTTATTACTCGCACTGTTAAAACTGATAGAGTATTTTCTACAACAGCATCACAATTCAAAAGGAATGACTATACACAGCAAATAATACATATGATTCGAGGAAAGAGGATTATGTGGCTCCCATAATCAACGCGACAATCATACCGTATAGACCGAGGACCTCGGCGAAAATCAACATGAGGATCATACCGACGAAGATCCGCGGCTGTTGTGAGAGGGCTCTCACTCCCGCGTCTCCAGCAATTCCAATTGCGTAACCGGCACCAAGACCACAGAGTCCGCAGACGAGACCTCCACCAAATTGAGCAAAACCCTGATTCACGGTGTATTCTGGTCCTGCGGGAGCGACTTTTCCAGAAACTATGACGGCAACTACTAGTCCATAAATCGCGACGATACCAGCCATAACCACGGGAATAATGGCCTTCATGACAAGATCAGGTCTAGCGACAGCCATTGA